TAAAATAAAAGTTAAAATTTATTTTTTTATATAAATTAATTATAAAAATATATATTTATTATAATTTTGAAAATATAAATAAGATAACCCTTTTTAATTATATAAACGAAGGAAATGGTATTTGGAATTATTTTTAAAATGGGAAAAGGGTAAACAGGGAATTTTGTATGTCGAGGCGGGAAAATGTGGGGGGGAGTGCTGCAAGTCAAAGAGTTTGTTGGATTATTGGAGCAAAAAGACACGGGGGACGGTAAATCTCACGTGATACGTGTGAAACCCGCCACATTCTAGTACTACTTCAATAAATATCATATGCATATTATTTATTCTCTCTTTTTTTTTAAAAAAAAAATATAAATTATTAAAAAAAATTTCATGTAATTTTATATAATCTTTTCATAAAATTGTATAAATAATACAAATAAAAGATGTATGGTATATCTCGTATGATAACACATTTTATAATTATTAATGACGTGTAAATATTTTAAATTTGAAATGGTCCCTTATTTTAAAATTTAATTAAAGGGTTCTTTTTGGTGTTTTTAAGGTATAAAATAATGATGTAATAAATATATTTTTTAATTAATTTATATTAAAATTATAAATATTGACTTCAGTTTAATCAATTAATTAATTAAAATCATTTACGTATCAATAGTATTAAAATATGTGTCAATTTTTATAATTTTTCATGTAAATTAATTATAAAAAATATATTTATTACATCTTTAAATTGAACCCTTAGAATATAAGTTAAAAAAACCGTTAATTATAAAAAGGTCAAGCTAAATATATACATTTTTAAATAGAGAGAGTTAGCTTGTCAAATGTTCTTTCTTTTGATTCATTGCACGGGTTCGTTGGGTACTAAGAAATGTAGAGCACAAGAGTAATATGAAATTGGATTTCACAAAAAATTAATGTGTACAAATGTTGAGACTTGAGAGAGGGAGGGGAGGGGGGGGGGGGGGAATGGAAATATTACTCAACTCTTGATTGGAAAAGTGAGTTCGCTTTTTAATTGACCTAATTAAAAGGGTAAGTGCATGCATTTTTCCCCCCAACTTTTTTATTTGTGTTAACTTAATTTGTTAATTAAGGATCATATAAAGTTTTTTTTTTTTTTTTTGTCTATCCAATTGGGTTGAAGAGGGTATCCCTCCTCCTTGATTATATTACCAATATTGTATTATAAAATTTCCACCTAAAGTAGACAATGTGTATGATTAAATAAAGACAATTTGGAAAAGAAGTTTTGAAAAAAGAGGAGCATGCATGGATTAGGAAATATGACTTTGGAAAAGAGAAAAACAAGTAGAACCTCTCCAACATACGTTCCATTGCTTTAGTTGATAGACATATTAAAAATTTATTATTAGAGGATTAGCCTGTCATGTACCTACATGCAATAAATTAATAATTGACATGGTCAAGGGTCTTACGCACAGGATGATCCATAGCTTACTTAGACTGCAGTTAGATTAGCTCAACCCAACTACATGGTTTTGAAATGTATGCGGCTTCAAAACAACTTATTTAATTTAATGCAATATCTTTTTTTTTTTAGTTCAAATTGTATTAATTTATAAAATAAAAAAACAATTTCTAATATTAAAGAGTTTATTTTTTTATTTAATGATTTAAATTATGTAATTCAAATTACATTAAATTGCATAATACTTTTTTTTTATTAATATTTCTCTCTTATTCCATTATTTACTTTATTTTTATATGGTATGTAACTTAAATTTAAGAATGACATTTTTTTTAAAGAAAATAACTATAGACTCCATTTAATAATAAACAGTATAATTTGTCTCTAATTAATTATTATCATTGGGTTGAATATTTAAAAGAAAATTGACAATCATTTTTTGAGTGTTTATTCCGATTAGATCCAAGTTTGTTTAAAGTCATTTTCTAAAGTACTTACTACAAAATAATAAAAAATTATGTCAAAAACTCTTAGTTTTTTTTTTCTTTTTCTTTTTCTTCTTAATTAAAAGAAAAGGTAAGGATCCAAAGTTTGAAGTATGCAATGAAATGGAAGTAGGTGAAGACGATAGTAGTAGTAATAGAAAAGAGAAGGGGGTATTGACTTTGTTCAACTTACTTGCCGTCAAGGATTGGGAGTGCCAACCACCACTCATCCCCCCCATTCTCAGTTTATCACCCAATTAACAAATTAATGGAAAAACGAAACCATTAGAAAGGGACAATTTCAATATCGAAAAAACTCGATTTATAATTTAAGTCGTGCAATTTAAATTATATGATATATATATTTTTAAAAAAATATTATATGTTTGTGAAATATGGATTGCCTTTTTGTTTCCATGGGTTACAGTTACACAGGGTATCCAATTATCCATGCCCCTAAAAAAAAATTTTTTTTTAACCAGTGAAGAAAAGTATGTATTAAATCAAAAAATTAAATATATTGACTCATTGATAAGTAAGTATTATTTTATTAGTTAAATTAATATTTAAATTTAAAAAACAGAATCTAAGACAATTTAATTTTGTCAAATACATTATCTCATATGGGGTATTATTATGGCCTCATGATTAATTAACCTGGAAAGGAAAATCAATTGCCAAATCCAGAATCTGGAACATGCACAACCCAGAAAAATCATGCCCAACATTGATTCTTTGATTCCTTTTACTTTGACAGAAAAGTCAGAAACCATAAACTTTGGCATATATTGACGTTTGGGGGTAGAGACAGCCTTGATGCTTTAGTGGGAAAAGCACACACTTTTGACCAGGGGAACCACAACTTTCTGTTCTGAATTTTTGAAGCTTTGGGATTTTGTGGTCACTTTGAATATTTAACCTTTTCTATTTCCAACCCTATGGAGGGGTCCTACTTACTAGTCTTCTAGATTATATTATATATTAAGTAGCTAAGAAAAAAGTTTCCAAGAGTTTTCCAACTTTCCAAATTACCATCATCAAAACTAACACATTGGAAAATGATCTATACCATATTCCAACTACCCAGATATTCATTCCAATTAAGAGGTTTGAAAAACCACAAATTTCATGCAGTTGAATTCAACATTCTTCTACTCAATAATGGAACTTTTGTTGATGACCATCAAGATTGGGAATGAGAAAGAAAGTAAGAAAGCTTGGGATATGTCAACTAAATTCCTTGCTTATGCCTCACAATGAAAATTCTGTGCAATCTCTAGATACTAATCTTTACAACATGATTATTTTGATTATCACAAATGCTGCATCACGGGCTCCAGAACTGACTTGTTCGTATGTGTCTATCTAGACAATCTGCAGGAAGTGTCTTTGGGAACTCTTTGAAGCTTTCAATGAAGATAGAATATGCACTGCAAATGATGTTGGAAGAGAAAAGACATGAACACCAACATATTACGAAACATATCCCCTGAGTGAACCCACAAGTCTGAATGAATGAGAAAGAAATGCAATTGAAAGGATACCTCAGGTCACCAGTTTGCCACGGTCCAAGATTCAGGAAAATGATGCAAAAGCCAGTACTGAGGATCTGAAAAAGAAAAAATTAAAAAAAAAAAAGTGATAGCAAGGAATACAGCTATATATATATAATCTTTTTTATTAAAGATATCTACATAAATGGAATGAAACAGGCAAGTGAACATATTGCAGATCATCTGTGTTGTTAATAATTTTTGGGCTTCGTTACTGATTTCAGAAGGGATTTGCTAAATCCCTTTGAAATTTCTGGGTTTATATTAACTGAAACAATTTATTTGGTTTTCACATAACTAAAAGAAACAATGGTCTGAGATCCCATCTATGATCAATAGGTGCCAACATAAACCATAACACAACAAGAACCAGGATACCTATAGAAAGAGATAACAAGGGTCAACCAGCAGATTGTTAATTGGAACCTCAACAAGAACTAAATTCAGCTTTAAGGCTTACCTGGTAGCTTCAATTTATTACATAAAACCAAGTAAAGCTTCTTTTTCCATCGACTTGAGGACCGTGGGAGCTGAAAGCCTCTGGATTTCCAGCATTTAAGGAAGAAAGAAATAAACAACCAAAAAGTTGGCATTAAGACATCAAAATTCCCTTCAATGACAATGCCATTTTAGTGGTACCAGATCATCATCATCAACATGAAATCAACAGGTGGTGGCTTTGGTTTTGCACCAACAATCAGCAAATCTAGAAAATGATGAAAATGCACATTGCCAGGACACCAAGCTAATATTATGAAAGTGAGGTGAGATGGGAAAATAGAAGTAAGATCCACATAGAAACATTCAATATTTCTCACAACTATAAAACGCTAATTTATATTTAGGCAAGATTCACACTGCCATCATTGAGCCTAATGCACATATCATCATCATTCTCATTTTCAAGCAATACAATCCCTTGCAAAATAAGCTTCAAATTATCATCTGGTTAGCCTTTCTCTCCAAAATCAGCCTTCTCAAATCAAGAACCTAATCCCTGAAAGATAATATAAATAATTGTTATGATGGAATCATGAGAAGTTCTTTTAATAAACTGTGTGACACGTCAGACAAAAGTATCAGGTTTTCATAACAGAATGTAATTTTGACACCCTTAATGCTGCTTTAAAGATGGTTTCGACCTTTAATAAGCAGACACACAACTTAAGAAAGCTTTTCATCTCCTGGCATAACCTCATGATTATACACAAAAAGTAATTCATCAAAGCCATTACCTGTCTCAGCAAATATAACACTGAACAAGCTTTAACAGGGGATTTTTTTTTTTTTTTATTCAATTTCATTCTATGAGTTGCCTAGACAGGGTATTTCTCAAATTGCCTTTACCAATCATTAGCAGATCAAACTCTAGAGCTAACAAACAAACAGTAGGGATTTTCGAAAGAAAAAAAGCATGGAACTCATTACAACACCTCAAAATACACAGGGATGAATACAGAATGAAACATAAAAACGTACTTTGATTGGAGAAAGAACCACGGAGGCCGGTCTCGCACTCCCTCAGCATGCCCTCTCCACTCTTCGAGATGGGTGAGCAGGGCCAATTGTTTTCAAGGTGATCTCCATTAAATTTCCCTCTTTTACATTACAGGGATGATCGATTTCCTCTACAATCTCTCCTATATTAACATCATCTGATGCAATTTCTTTGCTTACTTCTACGATGATTATCGGTCGACTTAGGCCTCCGAAGCTCAAAGGCTTCAACTTTACTAGACGGCAATTAGCAGACCCAGTTACCCGACCCTTGTAAATAAAAGGGTCGGGCCCTAAAGGGTTAAAAGTACAGTTAAAAAGAAAAGAAAAGAAAATTGTCATGGTATTGACATGGTTAAGGAAAACAAGATGTCCTTCGCAGTCAGAACAAAGGATGAGGCTTGCGTTGCCTACCATTCATACATGATAAATAAAACCAGCCAGGAGATGGTTTACCCGGGTTCCACCTTTCTTTTCCTTCTATGCTTACATATTTGTAGCCAACCAAATACAGAGGAAGATAACAAAAACCATGGCACTCAGAATGTGGGCTTCTTCCACTGCCCATGCACTCAGAATCTCCTGTGCCTCCAAGGCTCACCTCTCCCCTGCGTTTTCCCTCTCTAGATGCTTCTCTACAGGTACCCGTTTCCCCACAATGAATAATTCTTGCTGCAATTTGAAGAAAATGTTTCATCTTTTCACCCCAAGTTGTGAGTTGTGTAGGGTGTGATTGAGGGAATTGATTTGTTGGGTTTTGCAGTTCTGGATGGGTTGAAATATGCATCTTCACATGAATGGGTCAAGCATGAAGGTCCAGTGGCTACAATTGGCATCACTGACCATGCTCAGGTGATTTCTCTTCTTCACTACCTTCTGAAAATGTCTCTTTTTCCATGGATTTTCATAGATAGATGCATGGCAGGTGGTGACTTTAGTAAAGGCATTATTAACTATGGGAATTTGCTGTAGGCAGTACTGAAACTCTTGAAATAGATATTTTAACACATTATTACCAGACACAGAACCTGTATTACTAAGGACCTTTATTGGATGAGAAGCCATTGTTTTA